ACATTGGGGGTTTGGATTAGGGGGACCCTTGGGGATATAGACCCTCTCAATAAGGTCCCCTTTAAGAGAGCCACAAGTAGGGTTCAGAAGGGTCCCCTTTAAGGGGTCTCCCTAATACTACCTAGGAAACATTCCCATCCAGGATAGCATCAACGACAGTATGAAGTATGTGGCGCGATCCATGCTGTGGAATTTGGCGTGAACCAGGAGGTCCAAAGTCTTTGCTATGCTGGAAAGGTCTTGGTCGTCGTGCAATTCGTACACAGATCTCTTCATGCGTAATGCTTCCTCCAGGTAGGGGACTGCCTCCTCGAAGTTGTTGGTGACAAGGAGCGTCTTTCCCAGCTCATGCAATGCGTCTGCCTGCTTGTGGACTGTGGCCTGACCCAGGAGGTTCAAAGTCGTTGCCACGCTGGCAGTGTCTTGGTCGTCGTACAGAGATCTCTTCATGCGTAATGCTTCCTCCAGGTAGCGGACTGCCTCCTCGAAGTCCTTGGTGACCAGGCGCATCTTTCCCAGCTCATGCAATGCGTCTGCTGTGGACTTCGTGTCTTGGTCTTCTGCAAGACAGCCTACCACGCGTAGGGACCTTCGCAAATAGTTCACGGCGGCTTGCGGGCGATGAAAATGTCGTTCATGTATCTCCGCAAGAAGATGGAGAAGGGATGTCAAGGTCCGGCGGTCTTCCTTCCCGGGAGCCTGACAGCATGGCAGGATTAACCGTTGCACAATCCGAGGCAGGCTGGAATCTGAAGTGCAGCTTGCACGACATTGAACCCTGGCACCGATATTATTGTTGTCTGAAAGCCTGGCGTGAGAACATGAAACCTCCTGAGACGCTGCGACCCAAACTTGGCTGTACAATTCCCTCTGCCCCTAGAGCGGCATGCCTTGAGCCACACTCGCAATGGAAAATCTTCCGGGAGAGGTGCATCAATCAAGTCGGCGGAATCTGCTGATGGTAGAACTGTCAAGGGCTTGTCCCTGGCCGTGAGAACGCGGCAGCACTCCAGGTCGCGTCCGCGGAGAACCTCCCGAAAGTTGTCCGCCCAACCATCGCCTGCTTCAATTAGCTCCTGCAAACAGCAGCAGCGCAACCCAAGCTTAGTCATGACTCAGAGTCTTGACCACAAGCAGTGTGCACAATGCTTGCAGTCCTGGGCATCTCCGCAAGAGGCTGAAACTGCACAGAGATCCAAGTAGCCAGGCCATAGGCTGTCTGCCAAATTCAGAGCCGTCTTTATAAAGACCCGGGCTTGCCGGAATTCCGCGGACAAAACAAGCTCGTTGCTGAGACGGTACAGAGTCGCAAGAGTTTCGCCGTCGCCATCGAGGTCCAGGCGCTGTCTCATCTCAAATGACTCGAGAAAGCACTGTGCGGCGTGTTCTCGATTTTCGAGAATGCTGCTTGCGCGACCCAGGTGATACAGCGTGTGAGCGATACTGAGATGAGCCGCGCTTTCGTGCAGGCATCGCTGAATTTGCAAGCTCTGGTGTAAGTCGTCCATGGCCTGTCTGGCATGTTGAGCTTCCCCTTCTTCGAGAAGTGCAGAGCCCAGTTTATGCAGTGTTTCTGCGAGGGGAAGGCCCGCCCCCTCCGCCCTCATCTGTTGCAACTGACTCTCCAGAGCTTGCCTGTGTGCAACCAGTTGACCTGGACGGCTGAATCTGACGAACCCACGGGCCCACCCTTAACCACGACTCCGCGTGTCAAACTTTCGATGTCCACGGAACCGGCATAAGAAATCATGCCCCGCCAGCAACACGCCAATGCTGAAAGTCCCAGTGATTCAGAACCACCCTCCTTGTGACTTGACTATACTAGAATGCAGCTTGCCAACAATCTTGAGTAGCAGTAGACAGCCGTGAAAAGGCACAAAATGGGCAGGGAAGTTACCAAAGAGTGGAGCAATGCTTCAAGCCCTCGTCTGGCCTTCTCGCATTCCTGGCAGAAGCACTGGCAAATCTTCGACAACTAGCTCATGCGGTTCTGGATCGGCGGCACTATGAACGAAGGCATCCCGTGGGTCCCCAGTGCCGGTTGGCGCTGTAATCGCCCCAGACTCAGCTTCAGTCCCCGACTCAGGGATGTAGAAGGGGGCAGGGGGCGGGGTTGAGGGGGCAGGGGAGTCTCCACCGAGCTCCTCCGAAACGATTGCGGTGGGAACGCCATCTGCCACTAGCATCTCTTCCACTCGCCTAGTGGCCTGCAGACACAGGCTGGCCAAGTGTAGGCAGTGAGCGCGAAAATCTTCGGTACCCAAATTCTGCATCATCTGCGCAGCATAGCAGATCCTGTCGAAGCACGAAGCAGCCGTCTGTCCGGCTTCTGCTTCTTCCCCACAGTCGCTCACAATCTGAAGCACATCGCGTGCCAGGGTGCGCACTTGCCTGGCATCTCTCGACATCTGCTGCCGATCCGGATCTTCATGAGCCTGCAGGTGTCCGAGTGCATGATAAAGAATTAGGCCAGCCTTGCCTTTGACGGCTTCACGCTGCTCGTCCGACATGGAGGCGTCCACACTGACGCGTACTTGCAGGGCTAATCAATATGGAACTGTGTTTGAGCCCTAGCAGGATGCAGCAGGATGGAAAGATGCCTCTGGAAAAGTGAACCCTGGTTGGTTGAAGTTGTAAATAAGATTAACTACTACTGTGAATCCTCAGAGCAGATGTCGGTGAGCTCAAGCGAGCCTGTCATGGACTGCATGAACGGCTTCGCAATCACTCGGAGAAATCATGCAGCTGTCAAGAACAGGCAAACACACCCCTTCAGCACCATCCTTGTTAAGTTTCATCATCGCTGTGACGATGAACAGCTATGAATCATCGTCGTCTTCTTCGTTAGCCATAGTCGTCGTCATCGTCATCGTCGTCATCATCATCATAATCAAAAACGCCATCATGACCAGCTTCGGTGACAGCGTCATCGTCTTCATCATCATCACCACCACCACCACCACGATCATCATCACCACCATCATCATCATCACCATCATCATAAACAAAAACACCATCATGACCAGCTGCGGTGACATCGTCATCGTCATCATCACCATCATCATCATCACCACCGCCACGATCATCATCATCATCATCATCACCATCATCATCATCATCATCAAAGCATCATCATGACCAGCTTCGGTGACATCGTCACCATCACCACCACCACCGCCACCACCACCACCACCACCACCATCATCATCATGAACAGCAAGATCGCCCCCCCCCCCCTCATGACCAGCTTCGGCGACATCGTCATCATCACAATCATCACCATCATAATCAGCATCATCACTGCAACACGCTTCGACATGCCAGGTGCAGCATCGCAGCCCAGCTATTGGCCGCGCAGACACGTTAGTACCTTCCAAGATGTACTGGACACTTAATGCCGCTGGTAGTTTCAACATCCCCATGAGCATACCAACGTAGAGCAAATGAGAACTAGAGCAGGAAGTCTTCCACGAGCATTGCTCTTCACCCTAAACCAGTTCAATGCAATTTGTCCCACCGTCCCTGCATACGTGTAACCTGCGGAGATGATCTTCAACCCTGGATCCCCAATTCCACAGCAATCCCACACGCCGCCTACGAAAGATGACCACACCACGCACACATGCACACCCTGATGAAAACATTCCATTCCTATATATATATATATATCTATTGATTGTGTGTGTATATATATATATGTATACATACTGACACACATACACGCTGGTGAAAACCTTCCATTCCTGGCCTAAGGTTTCGAAGCCGCCGTTCTCAATGGACTCCTCAGGAGCTGGAAGGCTTGGCACGAGCTCTACTGATGGATTCCGAATAAGCCCTTCAATGCCCATATTCTGCCACCTCGGCGTCAGAGACTGCGGTCGAAGCTGGCAACTTCAACACAAACAGTGGAAGGGATTGAAAGTGTTTTCGGGCCCAGGGCTTTGTAATAGGGTTTTACGGATGATTTGATTTGGAGGGTGAGGGTTTAGGGTTGAGGAACTCTACATAATTTGAAGACCCTCCTCCTTGAGAGAAGACTGGACGCGAGAATGTCAAAAGAGACCCGGCAGAGGTCCCAGCCGCCAGAGCAGCTCCAATGGCAAAGGCCTTGGAACAAAGTTCAGAAGGCCCTCACATTCCCTAGGGCTCCGAGTACACAAGTAGTACCTACTTTTGGGGTCTGAAGTCTTTAAATAGTACCTACTTTGGGCTATTTGGAACCCCAGGAATTTAACACGAAAGCTCTAAACCATCAACCATCAACTCCTATAAACCCTGATCCAGAACGCCCAAACCACAAAAACCCTTCGAGATGCGAAGCCCTCTAAGCCCTAATGTAGACTGTAGCTCATCTAACCGTTGGGTTTACAGTCCACAAAGGGTTAGAGTCTCGAGTTTGGAGTTTGGGGTTTAGGGCAAGGACCTGACTTTCGTCTAGGTTTCGGGCTCAGGGTTGAGGTCAGGGCCCTTAACCCAAAATAGTTTCGGGGGTCAGGGAGGCCGGTTTTGGAGCCGGGGAAGCTCACTGCGGCTGCACTGTCAGGCTAGATCAGCAGCTGCTGGTCGCAAGCACAGAGTCTAATAACATAAAAGAGATCGCACATCAGGCTTCTATATTTAGCCCCGGACGTCGCCACTAAGTGCCAGTGTCGCTTCGGCAGGAAGCGGCGAGCCTCCGCAGCACTGCGGTTTTCAGGGAAGCATGTGGTCGGAACTCTGGGCGATAACGAAACTAAGGTTTGAGTGTTGGGCTACGAGGGTTGTGGGAGGCAATACTTGGGCAAGGTGGTTGTGGATTTCAGCACTCTGCATGCAACCCCCCTGCCTGGGTTCGACGTCTCCTCGGCATCTGCCAACGACTCCTCTAGCTCCTTGCGACGCTCACGTTTCCGCTTGAACCAGGTTTGACGTTCAGAGGCCGTCACTAACCGTGCTGGCTTCGAAATAAAGTTAGATCAGATTGTGTCTTGATGATCAGAACCCCCTGCATGTCCCACGGCAAGTGCGACAGAAGATGTCCCGTGCAAGCCAACTCATCACCTGCTGCTACCCAAGACTTATACGTGGGATTCAGCAAAGCTCTACACAGACTTGCTCTGAAATCCATGCAAGCTCCTACGACCTAAACCCGCCACTTTACTAGATCCAAGCCGGGCTCCTCTTCTGATCTGCAAACGGCAAATGGAACCAAAGCTCCCAGCTTCAATAACTTTGGCAAGACAGCCCTAAGCCCTAAAACCCTAAACCGGAGAAAGGGAATTTGAGACCGAACCGTGGACCCCGTGATCCCAACAGAAAGCCGTGACTCCTTCAACCAGTATCCCAGCAGCTACGACCTGCGAATAAAGATGCAGGACTCCCCTAAACCCTGAGACCTTAAACCCCCTTAACCGCCTAAACCCTAAACCCTAAAACCCCAAACCCCAAACCCTAAAACCCTAAGCTCTAAAACCCTAAACCCCAAACCCTTTTCCCTAAACCCTAAAACCCTAAACCCTAAAACCCTAAACCCTAAACCCTAAACCGCCCCCTTTTTGACAAAGATCGGATCTTGAGTTTTGGTCTGAAGACCGAGAGGCCGAACGTCGAAACCCAAAAAGCGCAGACTCCAGGAAGTTTAGGGCTTAGGGCTTATAGGGTTTAGGGTTTAGGGCGTAGGGCTTATAGGGTTTAGGGTTTAGGGTTTAGGGCTTACAGGGTTTAGGGTATCAGGGGTTTAAGGGTTTTGGCCCAAAAAGAGCTACATGAGCCCCAAAACCCCCAAAAACCCTGACCCAAGGCCCCCGACTTCGAAAATCTGATCCCCAAACCGCACAAAGACTGCGAACCATACGCCAAAGAGCTCTAAACCCCAAGCCACGTCTTTAGGGCCACGGCCGGCGTGTCCTGGAATGCCGGCCGCGGAGGAGCTGCAGAGAAGTGGTGTGCTCAGGGGTCCACAAACGATTCGCATAAACGTTGGGTTTAGGTGCCGAAAAGGGGCTTTTACCAATGTGTTTGGGTTTTATGGAGGTTGTATACGGGTTCTAGGCAGGTCCTACAGGGATTCTGCCAAGGATTTAACAGTTTAGGGGTTTTCAGGCTTTAAGCCTGAGGAGTCCAGGTTCAAAGGTGAGTGTCGGCTTCAGGGTTTAGGGGTTTGGCGTTTGTGTAGGCTTAGGCTTTGGAGTTAGGCGTATATTGCTCGGGGGGGGAGGGGGGGAGGCTAGGAGTGAATTTTTGCTCTTGAGGTCTGTCACTCTCATTTCTTTGCCGGACGCTGAAAATCACTGAAAATCACTCTACCAAACCATACACTTCAAACTTTAGACTTAGACTTTAAACCCTGAGCCCTAAACTTATATCTCGGAGGGAAAGGCATGAAGTCTTTGCACAAAAACACGGCTGTTGCCAGAACTTCAGGAAGTATGCGAGCAACGTTTCACGGAAGCACCATCCTACTAGAGTCGTGTACTACTTTCACTATATCGTTCAAAACATCAACCCATCAACAGATGCTGGAGCCGCTCTGAACTAAGGTCACTGTTTAGTTGGGGTTCTCATCAGAGCTTGAATATTATCTCAGCGACCACAGAAACACCTAAAAGACCTAAACAAACCCCAGCAATCCGCAATGTGCACTAACACTGACACCAGACCTCCCCGTGCAACCTCTCCGACCCTGTAAGCCCCACTCAAGCAAAGCCCAAACCCCAAACCCTCATGCCCCAAACTCTAGCCACTATTTCCAAACCTTGAGCCAAAACAAGACCAAAGCCGGCTTCTCAGAGTGCCTGGAAAGGCTTCTCGATAAGGCTCCGGTGCTAACCTGGATCGAATTGAAAAACAGAGACTTCCTACTCGGACTCAATGGGTTTCGGGGCGTGTAAGGGACATGACATGTGGGTCCGCGGTTGAGGGCATAGGGACATCTGGTTCAGTTGAAGTTGGTCTTCTGGGTCTGGGCTAAGGGCTTGTGGGCATTTCGGCCTCAACATCGGCCCAATCCGTCGGAATCAGAAACAACATGACACCCCAGAAGCATTCCGAAGCTCCAAGTTCGGCTTGGAAGATTCAATCTTTAAGGTTTAGGGACCCCCGGAACCCCCAAGCCCGAACCCTAGCCCTGCCCTCCACAAAGCCAAAACCCGAAAGCCTCAACCCTAAACTCTTTGACCCTAGACGCTAAACTCTGAGCCTGAAAACCTAAACACCGAAATCCTTAAACCCTAAACCCCTAAACCCTAAACTCTAAACCCCCAACCTGTAGAAGTGTAGCAGGTGCCGGAAATTCTCGATTTCAGGGCCCCGGCGGCAGCGGCTCCAATGTGGAAGGCGCCGGGAATAGTGCCTTACCCATAGGCTGCTTAGTAGTTCCTTTTCGGGATTGCCTTACAGGATTTTAAATATGAGCCAAAAAGGAACTGCTTAGGAGCCTATAGAGCTCAGGATTAGAGGTTTTAGGGTTTATAGGGGTTAGGGTTTAGGGGGTTTAGGGGGTTTTAGGGGCTCAGGAATAGAGCTTCTACGG